AATGTCAAATCGGTGCCTGCATATGATTCAAACATTTAACGCACACGACAAAGAAAGTACTTTTAAGAGGGATCACTGCAGATTTTAACCAACAATTGCCTCCTCTACATATTGAGGATTAGATGGCTATGTAGAGGCAGCGAACAAGCAGGAAGTTCATTAGCTTAGCATCCAAGAGCTTATGGTTCAATAAATATGTCGGAGAAAATGTGAGTGGGTTTGAGACATATACTGAAGAGACCGCAGACAGTCATTACGCATGAGGCAGGTCCTCGAGTCAAAGGCGAATACGAAACAACAAGATGAACGTCCGTGGATGATCGTATGAGGAAGAGATGAGGGGTTACGGGTAATTGTAGAGTCGGTTAAAGAGAACTATGGAAGCTGAGAGAATAATAATAACCATTCTGGAAAGAAATTACAATTTGACCGATGACACTTACACATACATGTTCTCAAAATGCTCAGAAAAATCACTCTTTCTAAATAACTCATTGATCGGTGAGAGGAAGTACAAATTAAAAGCAGATTAAGCTGAACCACCTAAATTTGTAGACTCAATGATGTGATTTTGATTTATTAAGTCACATATTAACATCATTCCACTGAATTTCATTTTTATTCTATGAGCAGATATCACAGAATGTCGTGTCAAGTGATTCGCTAACTGACCCCCATCAGTCAGAGAATGACAAAAGATCAGAAGATTATAGTCCACTAATTGTAACTGACCAACTTCAATATCACATCAGTTTTGTTCCAATGTCACGTCCTTGTGTAAGAGAAATAAAAGTTAATCCTGCTCGAAGTCAGATTATACTAACATTGTTTAGCAGAATGGCAAGAGTTATAACTCATGGGTAATTCAATTTCTGCGTTTCGATCGGATGAAGGACTGCGTAATATGTCCACTGAAGGTTGGGAGTCAAAGTCTTTTCTCAGTCATCACGGTAGAGTATTAAATATTTTCAAACTAGTATGGAATTCGATTAAATAGCTTACTATCGCCACACCATTTTATGAACTTCTTAAAAAGGTGTCAGTTTATAGCGCAATCCAATCTGCAGTAAATCAGACCTTCACAATTGCAGCTTACTAACCAAAAAAAAACGCATTTAGCAGTCAAACTACGTCGGTGGCATAGTGGTTAGGACTCTCGCCGACCATGCACATGGTCCGGGGTTCGAGCCCACGCCGGCGCACACCTGATATCTATGGCAAATGGAAAAAAAAAATAATTAACTGCAATGATGGCTTTGAATAAAGCCGTTTAGAAGACAAATGTAGCGAGATGATATCTTCATTTCGTAGTTTCGCTACAACCGCTTTACAACTAACATGGTTAACAATAATAAATTAAAATAAAGTGCATGACAATTATTCAGTTATATAAAACAAAAGTACATACTAATGACTAAACATATTTAAATAGGTCAGGTAGGTAGTTTATGACAGATGGTGGTTGAAGTCTATTGTGTTTTGTGAACATAGTTTAGGATCTATGTGATTAATCCAACAAAGTGCTTCCATCACCTTTAATAACCAAACTTGAATAAGAGTTATGTGAAGTAATTGTGAAACAGTAGGGTGCAGCAGGTCGTCTGTGAGGACAAATACTCGTCGAAGACATTGGCTAGCGGTTGTGCTATATCGTGAGTTGGCAGAAGTTAGAATTCAAGAGCCATTGGATCGGGTCCCAGTGGCTTAATGGTATACGAGCTCGCCTTGTGACAAGAAGGCCCTGGGTTCGAATCCCGGAGGGTGCGTACTGATGAAGAGTCCCAGACTAGGATAAAACAGCTGTCCAGTACTCCCTGCAGGTTTTCCAATGGTTCTCTAACTATTGTCAGCTCATAATGAAATCCTGTAGCCAATAAACCAAATCCCTGCAAACTAATACTTGAAAACAGCCATTAATTAATATTGATTTTGTGACCTGACATTAATAAGCGCTTTGCAGTGGATGACGGTGATGGATTTCTATTCAGATTAATCGCATTTGGATTTTCTACCATATTGGAACATGTTCTTTTCGATGACCATATTGGAAAATTCTATTGGTTCTACCTGAATGATTGTCACCACCGGTGAACTTGTAGATACAGTTTGAAGTAGATCTTTTAGAATTTCGTCCTATAATCTTAGATACAGGGGTGGAAAATTTCCGGCATGTGAAGGAAAGAGATGCGCGTAGAATGTACGTTTGATGGTTGATTGAAGTCTTTGAGCTAGCTCTCAACTGCATAATCTGGTCACCCTTGGACGGTAGGTTAATAAAGATAGCTTTCTTTGATAGAAAAGCTGTCTTCTCAAGATGTGGTTTATCCTTACTGTGACAAGTGATCAAGTTTTCTGGATAACCACTAGTTAATAAAAGTGAATGTATATGTCGAATCTCATCCATCAATGTGTCACTCGTACGTATTTTGGCGGCCTTTGAAAACAAACATTTCACAATGGACCGCTTAAACTGGAAAGGAACAAAACTGGCGAAGTGAACACATTATTCACTCCGTGTTTGTCTGCTTACGAAATATCGATCGCTTAATCGTTGCATCATCTCTCCTAGTCATTGTAATATCCAGGAAAAAGAGTTTGTTATTCCATTCGAGTTCGAAAGTGACTTGGATATTTAGATGAATATTATTAAACACAGTAATAAGGTTTTCAGTAGACCTAATATTGTTACCAATAATGAGTGTATCCTCCACACAACTTTTATGTAACATAAATTCTCCAAGCATACCTTGCATTTGTTTCTCCAATTTTGATATGATCAAATTGCACATCAAATTATACACTGTCATCTTTCATTCGACTTCATAATTGATAGACTCAGTGGACTTACGCAATTATACTGCTAATTAGTATTCAGTATACCCAATTATATCACAGATTGTGGGCAATGTGTCTCTTCTATAAATGCATCATATACAAATACACTTCAGCATAGTATTTAGGAACCCGCGTGTTTGAATATCATTCGTGACCTGATAAACTAGCTTCACATACGTTAAGAAGTGCTATCTCATGATGGATGATATTCAGAATCTCTGAAAGGCTCAACATAAATCAATCTCTCTCCTTCTTAGAATTTCTTGAATTAAAAATGTGATCGGTTAATCAAATCTTTTCAAGTATGAAGCTACACATCGCTGGTGAGTAGACGTAATCATAAAATATCTGTTAAAAACTGCTTATTACCTATTGACTACCAACGTTTAACACAAAAAAATACTCCATGATATTGGAATATTTATGCAAACTACTTGATTTCACTTGATTTCGTGGAATCACAACTACAATACGCATCAAATCTCAGCTAATGCCCAAATGTTTTAGATCGAGTAGATGTACTACTAGTGAGTAGTATCACTGACAAAATAGTAAATTCTCACAGTTATCCACTACTTTTAATATTTTTTTTTTTTTTAACAAAATTTAATATAGGGGGGAAAAAAAAACAAAAAAAAAATGACGCAATGGACACAGTGGCGACCGTTTTTAGTATAATGGATTTTAACCTGAAAGTTCTGGATTAGTAACTTGGAACTTTAGTGGCCTCACGGTGGCTCACCTGTTAGAAACAGAATTCATTATAACGTTAACCCACACACACACCACACAGAAACATAAGCTTTTAATCTAATCAAAAAAATGCTTTCTCATCAAAACTCTTCTCGTTGTGATATATTACAAAATACTGTGAACAACAGAAGAGTATATGGTACCAGCAGCATATATATTTGCTCCTGTCCACACCATGTAAAATACTGAGTCGCGTCATCCTTGAGAGGACACAAGATGTACCGGATGCATATCTCCGACAGCTAGGAACCAGCTGAATTCATGAAAGGCTAGTAGTCTGCTGATCGGATTGCAACTCTATGTACTACCATCGTCGAACAAAGCATAGAATGGCAGTCAAACCTATAACTCAAACTCCTTCATCGAATTCGAAAAGGCTTTCAACAGACAGCGTTGAACAAGAAGTAATTTGGAAAATGCTTCAACAGTATAGCGTGCAGTGGCGTCCAGTGTCAAACTCATTTGACAGTTAGCTATGTGACAGTTTCACGTGTTACGTGATCCATAACGGAAAACTCAGCAAGGAGTTCGAAATGGAGACAGCAGTAAGACTAGGCTTGCTGACTGTCATCACCGAATACATACCTGATTGTGTTACAGTTTGCATGCTGATTGAGAATGTAGGAATACGCTGTTCTGAACGATAAGAGAACTGGTACTAGAAGATCTGAATTTCAAGTGTGAGTGATTTATGTTTAATCTCACACAAAGAATCTCGAAGACTTCCAGTCGAATACAAACAAACTGGCTGAAGAGCCTGGCTGGCAGCGAACACGGCACTACAGGTGAAAATAGATAAGATGGAGGTAGGTGATAAAGACAACCAACCACCACCATTATCGACAGCAACAACAACCAGCACCAATCACCACCAATGGGAGACGTTTCACAGAAATGATCTCCTTAACTTATCCAGGCAGCCAGGTTTGCTTTAACCACGGGCACATAGCGGCAATAAAGATGTCAAAGCTAGCCGACCAGAATCGGATAGTCAAGATAAGTCTTCATCAAGATGAAACCAGTTTGGAAATCTTCTGTTCTTGTTCGGATAGCGTAAAGAACAAGATTCAGATTTTGTTCAGTCAGTCAGCTCTTCCATATGAGTGAAAAACTTGACCAGCGTGTCATGAAAATGATTTCCAACAGTTCGCTTCAGACTTCTTTCACTAGCTGTCACGTTCACTGGCCGGCTCCACACTGAATATCGAATGGCCGGCCAGCTGGTTGGCCAGAAAGAACTAGTGACATAGAACTCTGGCTGGCTGGGGACAAACCAACACGTGAGAGTCAGCTGTTCAACAGATATGTGTAGAGTGAAATGAAGATCTTGTGAGCAGAAGATGAGAGATTACAGGCAGTGGTGGAGGCAGCAGGCTGTAAAGGACAGCAGAGAATATAAGAAGGTGGAGATGTATTGTTGAAGGTGTATGTTCCACTCTGAATTCAATGGAGCAATAATAATGTATATATTTATCAGCTGTATTAATAATTTAACAAAGCATGTCATCGATGGATAGAATCTTCTCCTGACAATGATGTCAACAGTCATCTCCATTTATGGATAACAGAATCCAGGTCCAGTTACTACTTGAGCAGGCCATCCCCATCTGCAGATAGGAAAAGAATAAACATGAAACATAAACGTGAAAATGGCCACTGTTGTGGATAATTTTAGTTTTGGTCATAAGGTAAATTAATTATATTCTTGAACGCCTGAAGAGTACAACTATAATGTCAGACTTCTACAAGTGATATTATCTGAGTCACTGATCCGTCCAGCATCAAAAATATTTTCCTCTTCATTGAGTGTGAGCCAAGTGAGAACATGACACTTATAATTACTACACAATATCTATCCAGAGGAGAATCCCAGATTAATGGACACTGCTCAAAAATTGGACCTATAAAGGCTGTACACAAAAATGTTCAAGTCTAAACGAAAAAATAAATGCAGGGGTAAAATTGCAGAAGAGTTACGCAATAAAGACAGGAAGCGGATAAGAGGATGAGTAACTAATAAGCTGAGTAACGCTGTGTTAAATTTACCTGAAATCCTAAAAACAGAAGACACGCAAAACTACATTATAGCGAAGACCAAAGATTATTTAATCAAATAAAAAGAAGGTGAGGAGACGGCAAGGTATCAGGGCAATAAATGATTGGTAAATATCCCTCCTGCTCACTCAAATTATGTCCCAGGTGTTTGATAGCAATTCACTGAACAGGTATGATAAGAATTAAACATTTCTATAGTTTGGTTTGTAAGGATTAGTTATGTTTTACGGGTTGATCACGGATTGATATCAGTTAGAGAACCATTGAAAACCAGGGAGTACTGGACAGCTGCTGTTTCATCCTAGTTTGGGAATCATCGGCAGTACGCACCCACTGGATTCGAACCAGGACCTTCCGGTTACAAGGCAAGCTCGTATACCATTCAGCCACTGGGACCCGATCAATGGCGCTGAATTCTAACTTCTACCAATTCGTGATTTAGCGCGACCCCAACCATTGTCGTTGGTGGGACATCCATCCACACACGTGACATCTAATTGGACCTCACTGGTCACGACTTCTCACTAGAACTCAGGAAACTCCAACCTGAAGTTAGAATTCACGAGCCATTGAATCGGGTCCCAGTGGCTGAATGGTATACGAGCTTGCCTTGTAACCGGAAGGTCCCGGTTCGAATCCCAGTGGGTGCGTACTGCCGATGATTCCCAAACTAGGATGAAACAGCAGCTGTCCAGTACTCCCTGGTTTTCAATGGTTCTCTAACTGATATCAATCCGTGATCAACCCGAAAAATTAAACATTTGCGTATTGTCAGTGAGATGCCTGGTAATCGCACTTTTGAAAGCATTTGTTTCCTTGAGACGAAGAATTTTTCGTTCATGATCAAGAAAACGAGGGTATACCCTTCTTTCTGTTATCTCAATGTAATTGTTGCTACAGATACATGCAAATTTCTATACATAATTAAAGCTAACATGAAAATTCAGCTTTTGATTGCACTAAAGACCATGTTGTGCAATAAACGACTACAAACTTAGCTGTAGGATAGATTCTGGTTGGCGAATTATTCAGTCACCTTCAGGCTGTGTGCGGATGATGAAAAGCTGATGACATGAACGGTGATACCACCTAATTCTGCAGAAACCGGTATTAACCCTTCATTCAGACTCATTTAACTTTTCCAGTTTCACTGGTGAAGAAATTCAAAAGATCGTTTGCCATAAAAATCTTCACCAACAGGAGATACTCAGACAAGTCATCGTGTCGAAGAAACCGATATTTATAAACACTGAATATAAAGTTGATACTTCAGCTGATATTCTGGAGAATCCCTCACCCAGAACACTGAGAAAAGCCCTCTTTTCAGCTGAGCTATGGATCAGTTTCAACAACCACTTCAGTAATAATAATGACTGCATAAAGAACACACTTTCCAAACGCATCTCTGAACATTATCCGACAAAAGTATAATGCAAGTCACTTACTGTCTCAATGCTCGAGCACTTGGTAGACTCAAGCATTGAACTCAGTCAGAGTTGTCTTTCAAGATTATCTACAAGGTGACTCCAAATGTTACAAAGAGCGTCAGGTTTCAGCATTTTTGTATTGAAGAGGTGTTGGCAATTCGTCAATACAACCTCGAGCGCCGTGTACAGAAAACGCTTGTCTTCTCTGTTATTCTACCATGGTCTTAACCTCATCACTAGTCGTTCCCTGTAAAAAATTTTATTTTTTACTTTTAATGATTAGTTTGCCTTTACTTTAATAATTAATTCAATATTATCACTCTTACATATGCTCCTTTTGGTACATTTCCTCAACCTCTTCACACTTGTTAAATTGACACTCAATCAAATTCTTCCCACTCAATGACAAATTTAACCTTGTCGCATTTCCAACGCTTTCTACTTTTGTGCCGTTGAGTAATGTGCCGTAATTTGCAACCAATATTTTTGGCTTTTGAAGCCCCTCCTAAGTAATCAAATCAGTTATATCGCCCGCCCCTTCTATTACTTAATCAAAGACTGTTATGTTACTGCTGCTGAGTGGTTAATAATAGTTTTCCCAGTCGCCAAATTGTTATGTACTCGTCGCTAAATTATTGTTATGGACTGGTCGAGAATTTAATAGTCCTGACGCAAGAAGGCGGAAATCAGAAGACCACTAGGTTTGCGATGATACTTCTATTTTCCAAAACACCAGGAGAAGCAATAAGTGGTATCACACCAAGTAGTCACACAAGATTGTGTGAGCGAAATATATATGAATGTCCAGACAAGTGTGTGAACCGATCAATAGACAGTCTTAACATGAATGGCTAATTATAATGAAGTGTCGATCCATATATACATAGCAAAATATAGCAGACATGTCAACAAGCACACATATATATGGATATATGTCACCAAGCAACGGACTGTCAACAAACACTCATATTATATATAATATAAGGAGAATATACATTGTTAAAGGAGACAGGTTCATCAAAGTGAAATGGTCACAGACTAAGTGAGCAAACAGAAAGAGAGGTCACCACATATATACATATATATATATATATATGGATACATATCAAAAACCACCATACATTTTTGGTAAATATGAATACGCTTGTCCATCCTGTAAAGATGACTTCATCGATGAAGAAAATCTCATCATCTAAATTTAAATCGATGCGTTTCATATTCATTTTCATTTCATTTTCAGCTTATGATATCGGTAGCCTAAATTTTGCTGGCCGACCAGTGAAGTCAGGTGTGCGTGAAAAGAGGGTCGAACCCCAGACCATATGCATGGTGTGTGACAGTCCTAACCGCTGTGCCACCGATCTTATATTCTAACCTCTCCATTTGAGAGTTTATCCCAGTCAGTGTGAATTTGCCGTTTGAAAACATTACTAAGTAGGTACTTGGTGCGTACATGATTACAGACATACAGGTAGCATGTGAGTTGAACTTGATCATCACCTCATTTATCATTCAAAAATCTCACCGAGTATATGAAAGTGCTCATGCAGTGATACTGTTACTTCTGTAACGACAGAGGACAAGTCGTCAGGCAACAGATATTTATAGATTTTTATGTGCATTATTATTAGCGTTATTGTTAGCAGAGAAGCGACGTTTTCTGATTGGTTGCTTTCCTGTTGGAGGTTATTCGGTTATCTCTTTTTACCGTTTCTTAGACATTCAGCTGATATATCTGCGATTCTTAACTTCGCACGCTGAGTCTACTGTGATTAGTTGTTGAGTTCCTCAAGGTTAGGCTTTGGTCTTGTTTTTTCTCATGACTTAGATTTAGGAGGCAAACATTGACGTCAATTGCTGTCTACCAATTTTGGCTAGGTGACACTTTTCGCCGAACTACGACAGAGTTTTACTTCAGACAATATGAAAACCAAAAAACTGGTCGAAGAAGCAGCCGGCGAAGACAGGACTTCACGTGAACATAGACAAGACGGAGGTTATGAAAATAACCAAACAACACCAATAAGAGCAGCAACATCCAGCGTCAATCACCATCAACGAGAAGGATTTGAAAAGGCTACTTCATTCAATTACTTATCTAGGGAGCATTGTCCCAACTACAGGAGGAGCGGACGAGGATGTCAATTCAAACGAGAATCGGGAAGGCAGGCGAGAAACACATTCATCAATCTGAAACCAATCTGAAAATCTTCGTCACTCAGCATCAACAAGTAAATTCCGTCGGATTTTCAATACAATCGTCAAGTCAGTTCTTTTATACGGATCCGAAACTTGGTGAGCAGGTCACAAAGAATATTTCCAAAAGGTTGCAGACCTTTATCAACAGCTGTCTTCGCTGGCTCTATACTGAAGATCAGATGGCCGGGCTGGAAAGAATCACCAACAAGAAACTATGGGAACAAACAAACAAAACAAGAACCAATCGCCAACCAACAAATATGCAGGAGAAAGTGGAGATGGATTGGACACTCGCTGAGGAGGCCGCTGGATGACATCGCGCGCGCGTCAGGCCATTCCTCGAGTGGAACCAGGCCGAAAGGGAAGCGGCGAGTGGGACGTCACATCGAGGTTGACATGGAGGATATCGTGTGAAGAGGAGTTGAAACAGTATGGACTGACATGGATGCAGGTGAAAAGTACAGCAGCAGAAGACAGAAGCAAGTGGAGATGTGCAGTTGAAGCCCTATGTTCCAATAGGAACCAAAGGGAACAATAATAATAATAATAATAATAAATTTCAGACAATACATGGACATATATTGTAGGCGTTTTCATCGTGTCTAGTTCCAAAATATTTCCTCTGCATGCAGAATTTACATGTAAACCGATAATCTGAAGTACATCACTTATCGTGGCGTTGTTGCACATGAAGAGATAACCAATTATGTATACGTTTTCCTTAGTTCGCACAATAATCGCACGGCAAAAGGAAGGAAACTTATTATTAAATATGCTCACTAGTTGATGTATTGACACTAGATAAAAAAATGGCACGATTAAAACAATGAGAAGGGCCAAAGTGCTTAAGCAGCATTTTGATAAATGAAAATTCTTGTAGCATCAGTGACATTTAAGCAGGCTACCATTTCGTAGTAAGGACATTATTACATATATCAGCAATATTATAAAATAATTCAAACCATAAAACTTACTTCAACATTTGACATCGAAGATCATGTAAACGTTGCGCGAATTCATCTGTTTCAGACGGCTCTTGAGACCATAGACGTTCAGCTACAGCTGCAGCTAATGGCCTATAAAATGTTGTTGAAATGATAGAAGAGTCAACCTTATATCTTCATTTATGGTTTTATAGGCAAAACAATAAGAAGACGTAATTTGCTTGAATCGTGTACTGGCGTATTTGCGCAACGCACATTTCGAACAATCTGATCAAGCACACACACACACACTTGTCATAGGAATACGTAGATGAAATTAATAAAGAGTTAAGAGGTGAGCAAATCGACACAGGTCGATTTAAAAGGACAAGTTGAAAGTCATAATAACAACGAAGATCAATAAACCAAAGAAAAGGGAGGTAATAGTACATCTATCCTGGTTGGTATCAAAACAAAGTTTACCAAGAAGATGGTTTAGTGTGATGAAAATTTGTTGTTTTGAACGTATAAAGGCGGTTTTAACTTTCTAATTGCCAGCTAGGACTTCCACAAAAAACATTAGGATACACCCTCCACCAAACAAGTTTTAAAGATAGGTTTAAAAGATCTGTTAACGTCAATTTTATGTCCTGTCTCTATAATATGTTCCTCAATAGAGGATCTAGGTCTCCTGTTCTCACCATTAATGGGTTCTAAAGATTCTATTTGCTTCTGGAGCCATTTAGGAATATACTTTGAAGTCAACCCTTACTTGCAGTGAAGGATGAGTCCGCCCCATGTATGCGTGTCAACACGTACATTCAGATAAGTAAAAACAATGGGATACGACATTATTTTTACATGTTCAAAGGGCTTAGATGGATATATTGGCTTCACAACCTCAACTATTGTGGTATTAGCTGCATAAAAATTCATTGTAACCGCAGTGCTCAATTTCTGTCTAGTTGTAAAGCTGATATTATGACTCACATAGGGTAGCTCGGTGCACACGTCTTTCTTAGGGGTGAGTTGGAGAGTGGGTCTTGGTGTTCAGACTCCTATAAATCTCCTGATGAACTTGTCTGGATAATTGTTATCAGCCACAGTTTGTGTCAACTTTCTTTCTTCATCAAGTGTGTCTGTCTTCAGTGCATATTCGTTGGATTATACTGAAGAGGCACCTAACTAAGTCTCGTTTTTGCCCAACACAGTAAAAACTGCGGTAATTAAGATAATCTCCTGTCCAGGTAGTTTTTCTATAAGTAGATCGTTTTATTGATCCATCAGGAGGTCCATCAACTGTTTAGGAAAGATAAATAATTTTCTTCCTATTCTTCTAAATGCTATTCTGAACTTTATTCATTCAATTTAAAATTGAAGTGAGGACACAAGTCTTATCTATGATCAGTACAATATCATCTACGTACCTTCAACCACAAAGTGGCACATTTTTGATTAAATCCTTCAATAAACTCTCAGTGTACGACATATAGATATCTGCTAAACAAGGCTCTAACGGACTTTGCATAGCAACACCATCAACCTGACGGAAACGATAGACCTCATAGAAGTAATAAATTCCTCGAATAAGATATAGCGAATGGTATGAGAAATTTATGTATGTAAATGTAATCACACAAAATGTCAACTGTTTTGAGGGAAGGCATAGCGTTGACTGTGAAGTAATTTGGAAACTACTCGAGTACTACGGCGTACCCCAAATATTTATCAACCTTATTCAACAGCTGTACGACAACGGCACATATCAAGTGATCCACAACGGAAAACTCAGCAAGGCGTTTGGAGTAAACACAGGAGTCAGACAGGACAAGGGTGCTTATTATCACCAAAGATATTTCTAATTGTGGTGGACTGACCGGATTATGCGTCAGACAGTGGAAAACGAGAAGACAGGAATATCCTGGACCGACGTGAAGACCTGGATTTCGCGCGTGGATGATTTATGTTTGATGTCAGTCACAAAATCGAAGACCTACAAGCGAAAACCGACAAAATGGTCGAAGAAGCAGCAAAGACAGGAATCCAGATAAACATAAACAAGACGGAGATTATGAAAATAACCAACCAACAACAAGCCAGCAGCAACATCCAACGCGAATCATCATCAACGTGAAGGATTTGGAAGAGGGCACTTCATTCAATTATCTAGGGAGCATTGTCTCAACTACAGGAGGAGCGGACGGGGATATCAAATCGAGAATTGGGAAGGCGAGAAACACATTCATCAACCTGAAATCAATCTGGAAATCTTCGTCACTCAGCATCAACAACAAAATCCGGATTTTCAATACAAACGTAAAGTCAGCTCTTCTATAAGGATCAGAAATTTGGCGGGTCATAAAGAATATTTCCAAAAGGTTGCAGACATTTATCAACAACTGTCTCCGCTCTATACTGGAGATCAGATGGCCGGAAAGAATCACCAACAAGGAATTATGGGAACAAACAATGCAAGAACCAATCGCCCAACAAATATGCAGGAGAAAGTTGAGATGGATCGGACACTCGCTGAGGAGACCGCTGGGTGACATCGCGCGTCAAGCCCTCAAGTCGAACCCGAAAGGAAAGCGGCGTGTGGGACGTCCACGGGTGACATGGAGGAGATCGTATGAAGAGGATTTGAGACAGTATGGACTAACATGGATGCAGGCGAGTACAGAAGAAGACAGAAGCAAGTGGAGATGTGCAGTTGAAGCCCTATGTTCCACTAGGAACCAAAAAGAGCAATAATAATACATTAGTAAATAAAGAGTTTACATCAAAAGAGTACATTTTCTTATTCATAATATTAATATCGTCAAGACAATTAACTAATTCAAATGTATCTTTTAACATGTAATTACAGAATTGTGTTTCGACTGGAGGCAATAATTCTACTGACCATTAAGCAAGTTTATGCTTTAAGGATTTGCACATTGACAATACAGGACTTAGAGGATTATTGGGTTTTTGTATTTTTAATCAAAGCTTGATTCTACATAGTATATTTGGTACAAGTCTGAAATTTTCAGCATGTGATATCGGCAGCCCGAATTTTCAGGCCGACCATTGATATAAGGCGTGCGCCGGCAGGGGATCGAACCCCGGACCATGTGCATCGTTGGCCAGAGTCCTAACCGCTATGCCACCAAGGCATAATATGACAGATGCCTAGTCATGTATACTCACAGCAAGATCTAGAGTATTTATGTAGCGGATAAAATATACGGTCGACAAGCTTTTTAAATTAGGCATCTCTTTTGAACATAGTGGTCTAGTTGTAAAAACCTTCTGTTTATGCCACTTTATTCAAGGAGGTCCATGGTAAATTCCACTAGACATGCAGAGTAATTTATGCCGTATGAAGCTTTCGGTCAGAAAGAAAATTCTGCCACCACAGAATGTGCTGTTCCATCACATGATCTGCAAAAAACTTTAACATTCCGCAAATGGCTGTCATATACCTCATTTTATACAAACGTACAAACATAAACCTAAATATCTATCGAAAGTGGTGATAGTTCAGTTAAAGCTACAATGCAGGTAAACATAAATATATTCCTCCATTAGTTTCTTCAAATCTCCGGCTGTTTCACTCTATATTTTCTTATTTAAATCTGTGCTCTTCTCCGGTTTCTTTCAAGAATTCTGTATGTCTTTAAATGTATCTCACTTATCTTTTTAATATGAACACGCTCGTCCATGTGGATTACACATGAGGGGTTTCCAGGTTTTGCAACTACCAGTAATTTGTCACATGCAAGTTTCTGTAGTTCTTGTCTGTGTTTCATTGTCAATGAAAAATGTACAGTTGTAATTGATGTTTGTATGCATACAACAATACCATTCACCATAACGCATTTGATTGATTATATCCTTTAATTCCTAGAGGAACATAGAGCTTCGCCTGCGCATCTCCGTTGCGTTCGGTTCTCTGCTAACGTTTCCACCTAGATAAACGTCTGTCCGCACGCCTTCATCTCCTCTTCACATGACCTCCTGCGAGTCAACCTCGCACTGACGACCAACTCCCCGCTTCCTCTGTCGAGTTCCACTAGAGCTATGGCTTGTCTAGTGATGTCACTCGATGATTTGTTTTCTCAGAGTATGGTCAATCCATCTCAATTTCTTCTGGCCTATTTGTTGCACAATCGGTTTCTGGTTGGCTGGTATGCTCCCAGAGATCCCTGTTGCTGATCTTTCCTGGCCGGCCATCTGATCTTGAGTAGTATTGAGCGAAGACAGCTGTAAATGAAGGTCTGTAGTTTGTTTGAGGTGCTCTTTATGACGCGCAGTGCAAGTCTCTTATCCGTACAGTGAGTAGCACTGACTTCACATTGTAGTTGAAAATCCGAGTGTTATTTTTGATGCTGAGTGATGTTGACCTCCACACAGACTTGAGAGTAATGAAAGCCTGTCTTGCGTTTCCGATTCTGGCTTTGACGTCCTCGTCAGTTCCGCCTTCGCCTCTCATTATTTCACTTGTATAAACAAAATTTTGTTTTCTTATTTAAACTTAATCAATTACTTACACACTGACACATACTCACACTTAGCCTTCTTACCAATTTTCTCTCCCTGTTTTTAATATTATGGTCCATCGTGTCAAGTTTACAATCAATATGAGTAAAATTTAACATGAACATTTGTCATGGGCTGTCATCATTACCATGTATATATTGATGTGCTACTCACAAGGACAGCTGACAGGTCTTTGAAAAGAGATGTTTACAAATCATCGATGTTGACAGGTGACCTGACCAATTTTTATAGCTTTGGTCCCAAAGATAGAAATGTGGATCTAATCTTTCTCTCTCAACAGGGATGAAGATAGTGAAGATAGTTTTGGTGATGAACTCAAACAGTTGGAAAAAAGCCTTCATAGAGAGCGGGTATCCACTCCGCTTCGTACTGGCCGATAGCAAATTAAGTAGTGAAAATACAGAGAGGGACTAGGTGGCCAAAAAAGTGTTGCGCCTAAATTGAGAATCTAGGAGCAACACTGAGAGTGAGGTACTTTCGCGGATCTAGCGGCATAGGACGTTGATCGAGAAACATATCCCACCGCATTTGAAAGCACCTTCCAATTTAGCTGAGCGAAGAAGAATCTAGAGGTAATAATTCATCCATATTGCAACATGACCACGCAGCATCTGACATATAGTTCGATATAGTCTACAAAGTTCGACAAAATGTGCCGAAATGGACACGAGTGCATTTGTTTTTTATAGCAGAGACTTTGCAAAGTACAACAGATAAAGTCAGAACTTTGTGTACAACAGCAATTTGTACGATTTCTTTCGTTATCAAGATCTTGATTTCACTGTGTGATTCGCACAACAACTTTCTTATCCTTCTTTATTCAATATAATTGTTGAACTCGATGAAGAGGTAGTTATCGGAAGTACTATTCTTCGCTCAGTAATCAGTCCTTTGATAACGAGCTCACGTCATTTAGAGCACTACCGAAAATCCAGAGAGTACTCTTTTGCTGTTTATTTGTATTTTAGGTCACTGTAGAAGTACACACACATCGAAATTCAAACCCAAAACCTCCGCTAACAAGGGAAGCTGTTAGACCATTTACTTAGTACCACCCTATCCAATGGCCCATGTACTCAAACTTCTGCCATTTTGAGTTATATATAAAGCGCGGTTACCAGCCAGTGATAGAGGTGAGTAACCGTTCACTTAATTGACTTGGTGGATCTTCTTGGTAACGACGTCTAACTAGAACTCCAGATAGCTTCTAGTATAGACCAAGTCATTAGTGATCATCTGATCGACTGTCTCGTTTCGGTTTGCAAAGATCTGATTGGTCACAGGTTTCATTATTGGCTGACATCAGTCAGGGGATGTTTCTCTCCTTAACCGTTATATTGTTAGTGGGACAGAAAGTTTTATCCTTCGAAGTTTCAGGGACTCAGTATTTTTATATCACAGTCAATATACAAGTGTAAATAATTGTACCTTTTTGAAACTCTCCACCAGTAATTTAATATATACTTTGATCTAATCGTGTATTTTAAGGACCATTATTCCCGAGAATGATGGGTATTCACACAGTTTATACTTATATGAGAAATATTTGATGTTACACTATACAGACTTACCATGTTTCAGTGAATAGGTTGGCGTCATCAATGTATTGACCCCATAATAGAGCTTCTCCTCCGATTATCAAGCTTAGCTGTTCCTCTGTGGCTGAATAGAAATGATGTATTGATATAAATATAGCTATCAATATACTCTCAAGTGAACAATTTGTAAGCAATAAAATTTTCAAGTGTTGGTTTGTAGGGATTTGGTTGATTGGTTACAGGATTTTCATCATGAGCTGACATTAGTTAAGAACCATCGGAAAACCTGGTAGTACTGGACAGCCGTTTTGTCCTAGTTTGGGACTCTTCAACAGTACGCACCCACCGAGATTCGAACCCAGGACCTTCCGGTTACAAGGCGAGCCCGTATACCACTAAGCCACTGGGAGCCATTCCAATGGTCCTTGAATTCTAATTTCTGCCAATTCACGACATAGCGCGACCGCTAGCCAATGTCTTCGGCGAGTATTTGTCCTCACACCCGACCTGCTGTTCCCTACTGGTCACGACTTCTCACTAGAACCCCAGGTATCTGCCTACCTGAATAGGTAGGTAGTTACTGTCAAGTTTTGACTTCAACCTTGTTATCTTTGTGAAATAATAGACATCAATTCATAAAACAGAAATTCAGCACAGTGGTCAAATATAACTAGATCTTTGGCTTGATATTTACTGACGACAACGATTCGAGCACAAAATATTGCTTCTGACAATCACATCAGTATATTCAGATAACTTTGCAAACTTCATTTGTATAATTCCATTATTACCACTTTTGGAATTCAGTTGTGTCTAAAGCAAAACTGTTTCCAAATTGTAAGGCGGAATTATTTTATTTAATTTTAGATTTTCCCGTCGATTGATTGGATTGAAGTACTCGTATCAAGTTGACATGTTGGCTTCTTGTGCAGACTTTTTGACGCTTAGACGTTTGAAACCATGATCGTTGGGTTCCAGCCTAGGTTGGAACATAATCACTCACTGCGGAATGCAGGTACACCTAGTCGACGATTCCCACATAGGACGAAATTCGCATCCTGGACTCCACTCCTATCAGTCACCATCACCAATTAACTTCTGTAGGGCAAAATATTTGGGAAAACAGAAGAGATAGCACGGGAAAGATCAATATCCCCAAATACTACTGGGAGTCTTCAAGGTTCCTTTGGAAAATATGGCTCTCAGCACATTTAATCCTACTCCACAGACATGGTTAAAATATGTTGATGACACTTCCACTGTATTAAGAATAGAATATATCTTATTGTTTTTCAATTACTGGGTTGTATGCATTTCACTGATCAGTTGCAGGGTTACACCATGAGCTGACGTCACTTAGAGAACTATTGGGAAGGGCAACATCTAATAACACATTATGACCCTACGACTTAATCAGAAATCTTAAATACGCCTTTTTAATTAACACACATTTTGAATGAAAAACAAGAAGTATCAAGGTATGGATTTACCAGTTTACTTTGATACGCTAGATAAACGGCACTTTCGACAAAATATGAATCGTCTTATGTGTAATTCACTGAACACCTATCGAATAATCTGATGACAATTGTTCTTATTTGTTGATTGTATCATTATTATTCTCTTGGGTTATGAGTTGAACATATGGCTTCAAAAACACATCTCCCTTTTGTTCTACTTGGTGATGGATTCTTCAGCTGGCTACTTCCAACATTACCTATATTCCCTCATCTATTCCTCCCACCCACACGATCTCCTTCATGTTACCCTCGCAGTGACGGACTAGTCACTTCCTAGTGGTATTCGACTCGGGCGATAGCTTGGCTAATGCCCGATTCCAGTCAATGACCCCCTCAATATCTGTCCAATCCATTCGTCTCCATTTACTCTTACACATTGATAGGGAAATCGGGTCTAAACTGTTTGTTTATCCAACCGCATAGTTTCTGGCCAGCCCATCAGCCGGCTATTTGAACTTCAGTGTCAATCCAGCAAGCTAAGGTGGTAGCTGTTGATAAACTTCTGCAGTGACTTGTTGAATATCCTTTTCATGACACGCTGGTCACGTTGTTGACCTGTAATAGAAGAAACTGACTGACTGACTTCACATTAGTGTTGAACAAAATCCGAATCTTGTTGTTTACGCTGTCTGCGAAAGAGCAGAAGATTGCCAAACTCGTTTCAGTTTGATGAAGGCGTATATTGCACTCCCGAATCTGTCCGGCTTATGTTGACGTCTTCATCCGTACCGACTTCCTGTAGTTGAAAAAACGTCGGCTACTTAGATAATTTGCGGGAAGTCACAACTGTCAAATCTCTCTCGTTGATGTTGATTAACTCTGGTTGTCAGTGTTTTTGTTCTTGGTTGGTTAGTTGCCTTCATCACTTCTGTCTTCTCTACGTTCACTTGGAGTGGAGTCCTGTCTTCACTGGCTGCTTCCTCAGCCAGTTTAATGGTTCTCGCTTGTCATTTTTCGAGTTTCTAAGTGTGAGATTAAATATGAACCACACGTGGAATCCAGATCTCCTGGGGTCTTTTTTCTCAGTTATCATAGTCTGACGCATAATGCAGTCCACTGCAGTTAGGATATCATCAGTGATAATAGGCAATCAGCTTGTCGTGCTGCTATATTCACTCCGAACGCTTCGCTCAGTTTCCATTTGTGGATCACCTGACACGTGCCACTGTTAAATAGACGTCTGCTGAAATGAGTTTGAGGTTAATAGAGGCTTGGGCACTGAAAACCATAGTATTGTTCAACGTTATCTGTCAAAGGCCTTTTTAAATCAATGGATGAGGTTGAGGTATAGAGTTGACTGGAATTCAATGCTTTGTTTCTGTGAGGATGATGCGTAGAGTTGCTATTTGATTAGCATAAGATTTGCCTTTCCTGTATCCAGCTTGTGCTGCGTTGACGGTGTTCTGCATTCAGTGCATTTTGCACTCTATCCAGGATGATGCGTCTCAGTAATGTACCTGATGTTGAAGAGAGCACTATTGCATTCCAGCTTTTGCATAGAGATGCCTAAGTCGGACTTCTTTGACGGCTTTACAAGGTAGCCTTTCTTCTAACCTGTAGGTGCCTTTCCTTCTTTTTACAAATCTTTTTCACTAATGGCATGAACGTATCTGCCTCAGTCTCTGAGTTCGTTCCCAGTGCTTCAGGGTATTCTATAAGCTTTGATGCCTTCTCGCTGGTGTTCATTAGCTTGATTGCACTAAGGATTTCTGCTTCCGTTGAAGAATTGTTGTCCACTGGCGTTTCTGTGTGTGCTACTGGTGGTTTGATGTGGACTGTCTTGTTGACTGCTTTATCTTCTTGGAAACTTCTCTGGATAAGCTCTTCAACCAAATCTTCTTTCATACATTTGGTTCCCTTGATCAATTTCGATAAAGAAAGGAAGACGAAATTTGCAGTACAAAATGATGTCATTCTATTTCACAGGTTCTCATCAGCTGCAGACTACCTGAAATTACAATGGTTATATAGATGATAATAACATACTTTAATGTTCGAGTGGTGGTAGAAAAGAGATACTATAAAATTGACGCATCTAAATGAAAGCATTACAATGTTTTAGCTTCCCGGCAGCAAAACTCATAACAGTATACAGCACAACTCCTTCTTCAATTCACTCAAAACTGGATAAATACCCTGCTGATGTCACCTCCAACTGCGTTTATGAATTCACGTGCACTTGCGGGAGCAAGTACATTGGAAGGACAGAAAGAAGGGCTTCTATCCGGTTTTCTGAACATATTCCCAAAAACCTGTGCCTGAAAGGAAGCAGATATTCCCAGAGTGCAATTACCAGACACATTATTGATACCGGACATCTCGTAGAGATTTCTAAGTCCTTCAAAATATTAAATAGACAAAGGACAGCAAATTTACTACGATTTGCCGAAGCAATCGCAATCAAAAGACTTAAACCAGACTTATGCATACAGAAAGAGAGTGTGATTAACCTCTCACTCCCTTGGTAACAGAATTTTGATTTTGATTAGTCATCTAATTCAGTGATCTCAACTCACTGAACAAATCTTAATCTCATAAACTGTAACCGTTTTTGTTTCTTGAGTTGCTATGTGAACCTAAAAGCTAACACTGTTCTGTTAATCAATTTTTTCTGTTTTCTCTCTTACCCCTCCCCCTCTTTTCAACTTTAAAAGCGTATAAATTGATGATGAAAACTTAAACTAAAAACATTGTAATGCTTTCATTTAGATGCGTCAATTTTATAGTATCTCTTTTCTACCACCACTCGAACATTAAAGTATGTTATTATCATCTATATAACCATTGTAATTTCAGGTAGTCTGCAGCTGATGAGAACCTGTGAAATAGAATGATATCATTTTGTACTGCAAATTTCGTCTTCCTTTCTTTATCGAAATCTTCTTGCATTATTCTTTCAATGCCTTTAAGTATGTTTTCTGTAAATATTCCTTGGTTGCTACTCACAAGGCAGCTCCTAATCGCGCGTAATTTGCAAACTCTAGTATGAATTTTCAAGAATCTTTCTTTTTTAATTGTTTATACAATGTTTTTCGTTAAGTCCCGTTTAGAAGTTGTTTCAGTTCGATAACTTTAAAGTAATGCGTATTTCAAAGATCGGATAGAAAGCAAACTCGCCTTCAAATGAAACAGGATCACATTCATAAATTCTCTTCCAGTCATCACCAGGTTCCACTGAACTCAAATCCCAACATGAACTCAATATGGCTCTATATCCGGCTTTTGTGACTTCATCCAAAACTTGCTCCCAATCAGGTTTATACAAATGAACAATGACAGGAACGTCTTCCTAAAAATGACAAGAGAAATATGAAGTTGATAAAATATGCAAAAAATATTATTATTATTATTTTTGTTTCGATGACATTAGTTTTTCAAACACTAATGAGGATAAAATGAGATTTGGAATGCAGCTATTCTTGTCTGATCACTGTGGTAAAGGCCACACTGAGAATAACTTCTGCACATGGACGTTTAGCATGATGTTTTGGATCCACTTGTGTTCTGTCAAAAGTTGATTATTATTATTTCCTTTCATTCCTAGAGGAAATAGCTTCCTGCGCATCTCCGTTGCGTTCGGTTCTCTGCTAACGTTTTCACCGGATAAACGTCTGTCCGACGCCTCATCTCCTCTTCACATGACTCCTGCGAGTCAATCGCACTGACGACCAACTCCCGCTTCCAATCTGTCGGGTTCCACTGAGCTATGGCTTGTCTAGTGATGTCACTCGATGATTTGTTTTCTCAGAGTATGGTCAATCCATCTCAATTTCTTGCTATTTGTTGCACAATCGTTTCTGGTTGGCTGGTATGCTCCCAGAGATCCCTGTTGCTGATCTTTCCTGGCCGGCCATATCTTGAGAGTATTGAGCGAAGACACTGTAAATGAAGGTCTGTAGTTTGTTTGAGTGCTCTTTATGACAGTGCAAGTCTCTTATCCGTACAGTGAGTAGCACTGACTTCACATTGTAGTTGAAAATCCGAGTGTTATTTTTGATGCTGAGTGATGTTGACCTCCACACAGACTTGAGAGTAATGAAAGCCTGCATTGCTTTCCCATCCTGCTTTGATATCCTCGTCAGTTCCGTGTGCTTGTAGTTGAAACGATGCTTCCCAGGTAGGTAGGTAGATAAAGGAGGTTGCTTCTTTCAGGTTTCTCCCATTTATGCTGATTGTTTTCTGTTGTCGTCGCTACTCTTAGCGGCCAGGAATCTTCATCACTTCTGTTTGCTCTATGTTAATCTGAAGTCCTATCTTCCGATGCTTCTTCCGCCAGCTTGTTGCTTTTCACTTGCATTTCTTCCAGCTTGTGGGAAATCAGACATATATCATCGGCGAAGTCCATATCCTCCAAGTTTTTTGTGTGAGTCCATTTTATACCTGTTTCCTCATTGCCCGTTGTCTGTCTCATTACCCAATCTACTGCGATCAGGAAAATCATTGGCGATAGTAGGCAGCCAGCCAGATTGTCTTACTCCCGTCCTCACTTCGAAGGATTCTGTAGAATTCCCGTTGTGGATCACTTGGCGTGCAGCATTGTCGTACAATTGTTGAATGAGATGTACAATTGTCGGGGGCACCCCATAGTAGCGAAGTAGTTGCCAAATGACCACTTGATCGGCGCTGTCCATTACGTCAGCGAATTCCTTACACTGACCAAACTAGTGACTTATGCAGCTTGGAATGGTGATCATTCCGAATTGTGGATGTCTAGTTTGAATTCACAAAACATTCATCATCCAGTATGAATTCGTTTTCGTAATCAGTGTGTTAACTGACTCAACAGATTAGTAACGTACCAAAGGAAACTACAAAGACGAGTCGGCTAACTGCAACAACACTGCATGCTCTGCCCCCATAATTCTGTCAGCCTGAATGTTTGAAAATGGCTTTAGGGACTAACCATTCGTCGCTAACTAAATTAGTATAAATTAAGGTTAACCTTTCTTTTGAATGATATGAGCAATTCATGAGTATACAGATTTCAACAGATTGGATTACATTGTTTGTAACCTTTGAGAAGTGTTGGTGAATATGTGATTGTAGAAGCGAATGGAAAGAATTCTCGAAATGAAAGTCATAATGGCAGTGCTCTTTTAGGAATCTACTACTGTAGTGCAGAATATTCTAGAATTAATCAGAAATAACGGTGATTTTTTCGAACGTGCCTCCTCTAATTCGCGCATGTTTGGTGAATATATATTCGCAGAATCAGAATTATGTGCTCAAAAGAGGTAACTGAAGATGAACTAAGGATTGCACATGATACCGTGACTGAAAATAGGTATCAAGACAAACTCATCAGAAAACATATGACTAAGAAAATTGACAAGGTTTATTCAATCTTCATAAACAAGAAGCCTTTGTGCAAACGGCTGCGATTCAAAGCAAATATACTCAGCGAAATAATTACAAGAAGTTAAAAAACCACCTTAAAGAACGTTTAATGCCAGCAAACCACAAGTCTTATTTTCTACAAGAGCTATGATAATTCCTCAAGTGAAAGATGAAATACCCAGACTAGACTAGCCACTTCTAATTGTATCTTCCAATTTAACTCCACTTGTGGTGGAACGAGTTTTATTGGTCATTGCTCTAGGAACTTGATTTTTTGTGCTCGCTCTGGAGCATCGACCAGGGTGGTTAAATAAAAGTGTGATTAGAAGCATCAACAACTCGATATTAGAACAAATAATTAAAACTGGTCGAAAAGCCACCTAGCGTTGGGTAAACCTTCTCCATCATCAAATAAGTTATAGAAAGCATCCAGGTCCCACATACTCCAAACAGCTGATGCTGTTGCAATACGCCTAAAGCAACCGATTCTCTGTGTGTTGAGTAAGCAGGTCCAACCACTACCACTGCCCTGGTCTTCTGTTGAGCCTACAAGTTCATGAATTCTGTATTATAATTCCTCCTAATTTTTCTGATATTTAGTGTATTGTTATGTTGATACTATCGAAGTGTGATCCATTGATATTATTATCGTTGATTTGATGTTATTTAAACTACAATCACGTTGTTGATAACCTTAGTTATTTCATCATTATTATGTATATACACTTGTAGAAACTGATGATGAAGAGCAGACCGTCGAAAAGAATATTCTTTGTTCTTTGGATTTGAACTGCAGTGGGTGCGTACTGTTGTAGAGTCTCAAATTAGAACGAAACAGCTGTCCAGTACTCTCAGGTTTTCCAGTGGCTCCCTAAATGATGTCAGCACATGGTGAAATCTTCCATGCAATCAAACAGAAATCCCTACAAAATCAATACTTGAAAATCATTTTTTTATTGAATGCTTAATTTGAATAAAATGTGTAGTCTATCTCAAACCAGTTAAACGCCCCTAATCTGGCGGCATTCAGACTTCACTGAATAGCCGGATAATGACAGTATGATGCAACCTGTCTTCTTCTTTCTCAGTGATTCACAACTGACGTGGAATCCTAAAGACCAAAATCCTTCAGGAGTTTATTCATCATTTCTCTAAAAATACCTCAACTAACCTAATGGTTGCAGTGATTAATTTGTCTAAAGCCAATTACTGAATGAAGGAAAGGTTACCTCGTGAAACTAACAAAGAAGAATGTCTTACGCCTTACTCTGCAAGAGCTGGCGAGGAATCATGCTCCTGTCAACGCCAAGTAAAATCCTGAGTCGCATCATCCTGGAGATAATAAAGGACGCACTGGAGACAGAATTCCGACCAGAACAAGCTGGATTCAGGAAAGGCAAATCATGTTCCAAACAAATTGCTACTCTACGCATCATCATCACAGGACAAAGCATGGAATGGCAATCAAATCTCTATCTCAAATTTATAGACCTTGAGAGGGCCTCAGACGGCGTTGACCGCGAAGTCATTTGGAAACTACTCGAGTACTACGGCGCATCCCAAATATTCATCAACCTTCCTTATTCAACAGCTGTACGACAACGGCACATGTTAAGTGATCCACAACGGAAAACTCGGCGACGCGTTTGGAGTGAACACAGGAGTCAGACAAGGCTACCTGCTTATTATCACCAATGATATTCCTAATTGTAGTGGACTGGATTATGCGTCAGACTGTGAGTGGGAAACGAGAAGACAGGGATATCCTGGACCGACCGACGTGAAGAACCTAGAAGACCTGAATTTCGCGCGTGGATGATGTATGTTTGATGTCACTGTCACAAAATCGAAGACTTACAAGCGGAAACCGACCGACAAACTGATTGAAGAAGCAGCCGACGAAGACAGGATTCCAGGTGAACATAGACAAGACGAAGGTTATGAAAATAACCAACCAACCAACAACAACGACAGCAGCAGCAGAAACATACAGCGCCAATCATCATCAACGGAGAGGATGTGAAAGAGGTTACTTCATTCACTCACTTATCTAGGGAGCGTTGTGTTAACTTTAGGCAGTCGAAACGGACCAGGATGCCAAATCGAGCGAGAATCGGGAAGGCGAGAAATGCATTCATCAATCTGAAACCAATCTGGAAATCTTCGTCACTTAGCCAGCATCAGCAACAAAATTCGGTTGGATTTTCGATACAAACGTCAGTTCAGTCAGTTCTTCTATACGGATCCGAAACTTGGCGGGCGGGCGGGTCACAAAGAATATTTTTAACCAACAGGCTAACTCAAACCTTTATAAACAACTGTCTTCGCTTGCTCTATACTGAAGATCAGATGGTCGGGCCGGAAAGAATCACTAACAAGAAACTATGGGAACAAACAAACAAAACAAGGACCAGTCGCTCAACAAATATGCAGGAGAAAGTGGAGATGGATTGGACACTCGCTGAGGAGGCCGCTGGGTGACATCGTGCTCGTGTCAGGCCATTGATCGAGTAGAACCTGAAAGGGAAGCGGCGAGTGTGTCGTCGGGGCAAGGATGACATGGAGGAGATCGTGTGAAGAGGAGTTGAAAGAATATGGACTAACATGGATGCAGGTGAAAAGTATAGCAGAAGACAGAAGCAAGTGGAGGCGTGCAGTTGAAGCCCTATGTTCCACTAGGAACCCAAGGGAACAATGATAATAATAATAATGAAACCAATTACTTGAAGCAACTTAACTCAAATAAAAGTGTTTAGAAGATACGAAAACTTACACGAAACCCATTCTCGAATACATCTTGCCAAACAATCGGTGATGCCATCCATTCTGATGAATTCATGCCTAGAATAGTCGTCATAAGTCGCTGAAAATAATAACTCTCCAGTCTTGTATAATCATCCCCGTATCCTTTTTCATTCATAAACTGTCGAATGAAAATATTAGACTGCCTAAAATATTGAAAGAGAGTCATAAATGAGTATGAAAAAAATTTAAACAATTCAAATATCAAAACCAGGATAGCCATCATTCACTGGAGGCTGACGCATTTCCCATTCAGTAGTCAGCGAAGACGGTTACATATCAGGCTATACTGTAATATAATTTTGATAACTTTAGTGATGCAGGGATTATCGCTTTAGAAAACTAATTGTGTGTTGCAGGATTTTTATTATGAGCTGACATTAGTTAGAGTGCGCATTAGTACGCACCCGACGGGATTCGAACCCAGGACCTTTTGATTGCGAGGCGAGCTCGTATATCATTAAGACGCTGGGACCCAATCCAATGGCAAACGCATGAATCCTAACCTCTGCCAACTGACGATATAGCGCAAACACTAGCCAATGTCTTCGGGAGTATTTATCCTCGCCCCCTACCTGCTGCACCCTACTGGTCAGGACTTCTCACTAGAACCCCAGGTAACTACCTACGTGAGTAGGGCAAGTTACTAGAGAGCATCTCATTGTGTATTGTTCACACGATGTCTTCAACTCTTTTCGATTCCCTATGAGTGACCAACTCTGGCGTGATTGGTTATTAATGTATACCTTGATTAATCTTTTTTTACAGACTTGGAGTTCTAAACTTAGTTGCCATGTCAGCCCTTGTTTGTATTAGTTGATAAATTTTATCCAGAGTGATATGCCTGTTAATTGCTGATTCATCTGAGTTCCAGGATTCTAGGAATACTCTGGTAGAGATTTCCGTTTTTCCACGCTCTTTACAATTTCTACACTTTCCGAAAGAATTTCGTTTCCATAATTGTCTACATGCATCGATGGTTCTCTAATCTTTACAAACCAACTCTTGAACATTAATCTGATCCTGGCTAGTGACTTGCTACAGGACAGAGTTTCCTGAAGTCCTAGTGAGAAGTCATAACCAGTGAGTTCCAAACAGTAAAGTGTGAAGATCGATTTCCAACCATGACATTGGTTGATGCCAATCAAGCTAAATCACCAATTGGTAGAAGTTACAATTCATGCACTGACCATTGAGGAGTTTGGCCCTAGTGGCTGAATGGTATACGAGCCAGCTTGCCTTGTAACTGGAAGGTCTTGGGTTTGAACCCCGATGGACTGGCTGCAATCTGTCAATGATTTCCAAACAAGTGTCAAGTGGTTCTCTAACTGATATCAATCCCTAATCAGCTCGTAGTAGGATTTTCCAATTGTCCAGATGGACAGCTGTTGAATCATTTCTATTAAACGTGTTCTTCTCAGGTGATTCGATAAATAAAGCCTCAGTCAGTTATCATTCTCTTATTGTACGGTTGTGTGTAGCTGCATATAATCAAATACTGTAGCTGAACTACTCTTCAGATTTCATATCTTACTCGGGTCAACTAATCTTGATTTTGCTGTTAGGTTTTTGTGTTCCGCAAGTCTGACTGATTAACTGACTGACCCCGTTTTACTACTTTGACCTATCAATATGACCCGAAGAACATTACAGGCGGGATACAAGAGAAACTAAACTGTTTCGAAATGAAGACACTTTACCGAATGTTACAAATACAGCCAACATTCACTGGAGGTTGACATATGTCACATTCAGTACTCACTGAAAGCATCTACATATCAGACTACAATGCTAGTCAAAGCCTAAAGTGCAAGCTTTTAATGTGAAATGGCTTTATTCGGTTTCCCTATGAGTGACCTACTCTGTCGTAACTGGTTGTTAATTTGTACTATGATTAATCCTTTTTTCTAAACATTTATTCCCCTTTATATAAAAGTGAATAAAGCAAGAACAACAGTGATTTGTGCAGAATAAGGAGAAGGCGCCATCATTGCTTATTTCATTGGCTTCTCATCAGTTACTGCCTACAGTCTAAATAAATAAATTATTATTGTTATTAAGTTTATGTACAGAAAAATTTTAACATACTTGCAGAATTTACATGATGTCAGTTGACATGAATTTCTGGACTTAATGAATAGTGCTCAGAAACTTACGCTTATATAGTTCTTACACGAGGAATTAAACTTTACACAGGGTAGATGTAGGCAAAGGAGTTATGTAATAAAGACGACCGGTGCGTAAGATGATGAGTAACGTATAAATTGGGTACTGGTGTTTTTAGGGATTTCTTTTTGTTTGATTGGTTCGAGGATTTCATCATAAACTTACATCAGTTAGAGAACCAATGGAGAACCAACCACAGGTAGTATTGGACAGCCATTTCGTCAGTTTAGTTTAGGACTCTTCATCAGTACGTATCCAGCACAGGGTTACCAAACCTTGTGGTTACAAGGCTAGCAAGCTCGTAGATCATTAAGCCACTGAGATCCGATCGAATGGCTAGCCGATGACATAGCCCGGTCACTTCTCAATGTCTTCTTCGGTGAGTTACTGCCCTGCCTTCAACCTGCTCTAGCCTACTGGTCACGGTTTCCAGCGAGAACCTCAAGTTAATTGCATGAGTAGGACCAGTCACTAGTGAGCATTAGACTAATTTTCAAGTAATGGTTTTGTAGGTGGCAATTTAATGAGTTCAACTCAAATCATAGAAATAAGTGACAAGCAAAATTACACTCTATCAGAGTGCGATGCGGTTGAGGCTAAAGTCAAAGTATACTTAATCGAATGAAATGGAGACATAAAATAAAGGCATCCACTTTCCAGGGTGGCACGGAAAGATTGCTAACTGCTTATTTTTGAAGACATATATTGGATTTCAGGTGTCTGATAGACATCGCGATTCTAACCCTCTTTGTCATGTGCGCTGTTGTTTTTATTAGTTGATAAATTTTATCTAGAATAATATGTATGTCAGTCGCTGATTCATCTAAGTCCTAGGATTCTAGGAATACTCTGGTAGCAATTTCTGTTTTTCCACACTGTTTAAAACTTTTTATATTTTCAAATCGAATTGATGTCCATAATTGTCTACATCCATCGACATGAAAGCATACCTATCGTGTCAGTTCACAACCACTTTGACCGATGTAATGTTGATCACAGGAGAAGCTATTTCTTCTGCAGCTGATATCGCTGTCGTCTTCTTTTCCCATTAGATATTAAGGTCTGAACATTAATAAATGAAGTAAAATTATTTTGGTTTGTATGAAGTATCCATTCCAAGATGTTTTTTAGTATTCTGACTATAATTTCAGAAGCATTCTTCATATATGATTAGATGAATTTACTCATGGTTCATGAAAACAGTTTCTTTCTTCCTGGTATTTCGATTTGACTTTGAACGATATTCGATGGAGATTTATTCGCAGAAGTTTTTTTCATGGAAACGGTTACTGAAAACTTCTCTTCTGTTCTCTTCAGGACAAGAGTACTACAGTGTAAATATGCCTCTTTTCCCATCCCATTCTATTGTATGTTTGTGTTTAATCTCATGTTGTGTAATACTATAACTGAATTATTCTTCAGATTTCTTATCCTATTCAGGTCAGTAAATCTAGATTTTCCTAGGTCTCTGTACTCTACTAGTCTGACTGACCCCGTTCTATTACTTTAACCTGTTTATTTGACTAGCAACTGGATCATTTGGTTTAATTGGCGGCCCCAGGATAGATCCTCTAACTGACAAAGCTTTTTTTCTGATTGTGTTTGCGTGTTTGAATGTCAGTCACTTCTATTTTCGCCTGCATTGTTGAAAATTCTCCGTAAGGTTTTCAAGGTTCCTTCTTTATATGGAATTACTACTGATAGTCTAGATTCCTTATTGTTGGTGTTGTCATCATTCTGTGCATGCTTGACATGCATGTCGTCCATAATAATGTTAATTATACCATTTTCTTTACTACTATTATTATCAATTTAATTTTTACATTTTCTTACAAAATTTCTGACGAATTCATCAGGGTCATTGTTAAGCTTAAAAGCTTCTCTTATATGTTTCACGCCTTGTTTTAGATTTTCCTTGGTATTATTTAGTTTTTTCTGGTGCCTTTTTACATAAACATTTCACAAATCCTATTTAGGATGATCGGAAATCCAAATATCGGCTTGAATGTGTGCATGAGTTTCCGGTAAACACTAGCGCTTAATTTTGCATATGCTTTACGTTTCCGCTGTAATCTTACATTGGAGCTTTCCTTCTGGAATATACAATTCATAGGTGAATTGAATTTCTTCTGCATTCGAGTTAATGTGCTGGAAAAATCTATTCATGTACGCTGAGTATGTTATCTGCCTACCTCCAAGGAATTTCAAGGAATTAAACCCATGAGATCTGAGTTTCCGAACCTCGATGGATTACACAAAATTCATAAGGTTGATAATCAATTCCGTCCAATTCTTTCAGTGTTTAACTCTCCTACACATAAATTAGCAAAATGGTTAGCTGATATTTTAAGTCCAACTCGCAATGAATTATGTAAGTTTACTTTGAAAGATACATTTGAACTTGTTGACTGTCTTGTATATATGAACATAAATGAAAGGAAAATATAATTATTTGATGGTAATTCTTTGCATACTATTGTACCACTGGTCAAAAACGTTGATATTGTTTGTGACTATATATCTTCTAGTTGTTTTTCATTCCCTTTCCCTTTAATTTATTTGATAGATTTATTACTATTATGTACTGACAACGTTCATTTCACGTTTGAAGGTGAACATTTTTGACAAGTGGATTGCGTTGCTATGGGGAGTTCATTAGGACCTTTGTTAGCGGACGTTTACATGCCTTATGTTGAAAACGTATCCTTTGATTTAATTTCTAAATTGCCCTTCTATAAGAGATATATAGATGATATCATTTTGATATGCGACGATTATGAAGATGCAAGTCGTCTATTAGACAGACTTAACTTTGTACAGAATCACATTAGTCTTACATGCGAGGAAGAAAGTCACGCAACCAACTAGCATTTTTTGACATACTTCTGAGTCGAAGAGATGACGGTTCAATAAGACGACCAATCGACAGAAAGCCCACTTAGACAGGGCAATACCTCAATTCGCACAGCTTCTGTCCATTATAGTATAAGAGATGCTTGGTAAAGTGTCTATTTAAGAGGATTCAGCGTGTTCGCACGGCTGATGTCATAGACAAAGAAGACGAAATATTGATGGATACTCTTGTTGAAAACGGATATCCTTTAAAATTTTTAAACAGGTGTAGAACCTACAATACATGCCGTCCCTAAGAAAAGGTTTTCATCAAATACCATATAACAGGGAAATAAACAGTAGGATTGTGAGACAAAGGTTGAATTCGATCATCCGTAGAACCTACTATGCAGCCCGGCTTGTAATTGTCGAAAAAGCTAAAAATATGCTTCACTGTAAACCTCAAAAGTGCACAAGTGATTATGTCACATCCCACACAATTTACCGATTTTCGTGTGTGTGTGAAAAAACATACATAGGGAGGAGTAATCGCGCTTTGCACGTGAGGGTGGGAGAGTATATCCCAAAATGGTCAGAAAAACAAATGAATTGTGAAAAACCAATAGATACAGGTGTTAGACTACCAACTTTGTCTATAGCTAAACATCTAATCGAGATGAACCATAAGAGTGGTGTTAACTCAGCCTTTAAGGTAATCTATAAAAACGGTCAAGGGTGCTTACTGAAATGCGCTGAGGCTATAGCTATTCATAAACTTAAGCCCACCCCCTGTGTATTCAAAAACAGTTTGTTATTACTCTTAACCAACCTTGGTAATCCTTATTTGATTGGATTACCAAACGTTTGTGTTAATTATTCTTAATTCTCTTTTGTCAATTTGTTCAATTTAACTTTCCCATATATAGTGAATTGACAAGTGAATGTGTGATCAGATTGCTCGAAATGTATAGCGCAAATACATCACATTTTTTAAATAATCTCTGTCTTCTAATAACACTATCAAAAGTTCGTTTTTCACTGCCTCTATAGCCATATTTATCGGTACACGTGTATGTGTACTGACAGTGTCAAAACTAACCACTTTTTCTTCATTATCTAATTTTAAATTATGTAATCTATGTCTTAGTTCATAAGAATTTGTTAGTCCAGATTTCGAGTGGCTTTTAAGAGGATTTAATATGTAGACAATTCCTGAGTAGGTAAATTTGTAAAATTAACTAAGTTTCTAATAAGGTATCCCGACTACTGAACTTTGAAAACATGCATTCTACTGAGGTCATTAGTTCTCGGTGTTAAAATAAATCATATAAACTTACCTAGGAACAGCTTCACTTGGTGTATAAGACATTAGGACATCTAAGAGAAGAATTTTGTTATGTGATTCCTCTGCTTTTGTGAGAATTTGATGTCTCTTCAAATACGTTGTTGGTTAATTTGTGAGAGAATTCTAACTCCTTTCTTCGAATTATGACAAATAACGCATCTGAAATTATTGGATTTCTCGTGGGAAGGTGTGACCAAATAGGGTACAATAGGTTGAAAGTGAGGACGAATGCTCGTCAGCCATGATACTGGCTAGTGGTCACCCCACGTCGTCCATGAATTGGCAGAAGTTGGAATTCATGAGACATTGGACTGGATCGCAGTAGCTTAATGTCTTACAAACTCGCCTTGTAACCATAAGGTAGTGAATGGGTTGAAAACTCTGAAGTAGGGGTGCGTCGTGAGGAATACGCACAAACTAGAACTAGAATAGCTGTCTAGTACACCCATCTGGTTTTTCAACGGTTCTATAACAGAAGTCAGTTAATAATGAAATCCTGCAACCTATTGGTTTAGGTATTATTAGCAGAGCAGAGTTGAAACAGTATGGACTAAATAACATGGATGCAGGTGAAAAGTATAGCAGAAGACAGAAGCAAGTGGAGACATGCAGTTGAAGCCCTATGTTCCACTAGGAACCCAAAGGAACAAAAATAATAATAATCCCTGAAGGACTGTTTGGAATAGGACGATATTCTACTGACGTCATATATACCACTCGGGACACAAGGGGGTAATAATAGTGACAATAAGTCAGAAACTCTAAGACCCATACAATCAAACATGCGGCAAAATTAAAATTTTCAAACTTACCAACACTCATATGACACGTCTCTACCACCGAGATGTATCATACTATCAGGAAATCCACTGAGGACTTCATTGAAAATTTGGCGTAAAAAAGTGTATGTACCATTATCCGTTGGATTTATTGGACCATAGTCATAACTTGGTTTGTCATCTTTATAGCAGACAGTGAGTAATGGAAGTGTAGGTACATTCCACATTTTGGTATGAGCTACAAAATATGTAAGCAGAGCAGAGGAGTGGGGAAATTTAAACAACAAAGCTGCAAAAAATGCATTTCACACATTTGGGCTTCATCACCAAGTCAACATCATCAATTAAAAAAAGATCATTGGAAATCAAGGCGTAGTGCTAGACATCTCAGGTTACTAGACTAAATCTACTGACCGTTCGTCCTGCTGTGTCAGAATTCAATCTGAAGCCCAATTATTAGCTATTGAATTGATTTCCTGAAGCTGCAGTCAGAAGCTGTGCTGATATGGAGTCCGCCATGTCAACGTGTGAAGTGGATGCTCATTGAAGGCACTGATGAAGGAAGTGTTGTGTGAGTGCTACTTATAATCAGATATAAGTAGTATGTCAGTAAACGAATTCAGAAAAGTAAGAATAGGCTTTGAATATTGGATAAAGGCAATCGAAGAAAAGAACTGTAAGAAGAATCACTGAATTATAAGATGTGCTAAATTTATGTACCTACAATACGTTTGTCCTAATAAAGATTCCTTCGATCCTCACCGGTATTTTTTCTCTACAGTAGCATTATGTCATCTACTGACAAAGTGAGAATTCACTGGTCGTTGATTTCCGATCCAAATGGTTGTATTATTGAACAGCCTTAGTCTCGTCTTGAAAGTGAAGTTACTGGGTTCGATCTCTATTTGGGGTCAGAGGTGAGTACTGCTACAGAGTCTCTAGTTTGGGAGGAAACACCCGTGCTTCGTGATTTTCAATGATTCCTGTAACTGATATCAGTTTGTGATGAAATCTAAGAATTGATGACTTTTATACAGGCTGATTTTCTCTGTCGCCAAGTTAGAGAATGGATCACTGAAAAGAGTAATAAATAATGAGTTGGATTTCTACTGCTAATATATGGATAATACATGTCTGCTTTTTGAAAAACGAAAATGAAGCAATGAACATCTGTTACAGATTTAATGCAGCTCATTCAGCAATAAACTTTACCATAGAGAAAGAAATTAATGACCCTATCTCATTCCTAGACGTCTTCATTGCAAGGAAAGCAGATGGCACACTAAGAAGGATTTGTTTGTATAGAAAACCTACAACAACAGGTCAGTACACTCATTTTTTTGAGTTTTGTACCTTTGAAATTTAAATATAATCTGGTACAGTGTCTGTTTCATAGGGTCAGGTTAATCTGTTCAGATGACTGCTTAAGATTATTAGAGAGTTACTTAGAAAAATAGTTATCCGGATAAGTTCATTGAGAAAAATATGAATTCAACACTAAGGAGAGCCAGTATTGCAACAGTTCCGAGAAAAACACTGTTCATAAAACTGCAGTTCCTCGTGACATCATCAGTGAAATAATAAAACACCGCCTGGAGAATTGTAGTTAAAACGCCTTATTATGAAGTAGTGGTATGTTGTCTTTTCACCACCATCCCTATTCTACGTTTGAGAAATAAGGATAAACTGTCTAAATTTGCCTTCGTCATGTGCATCTACCAGTTTGACTGCAGCTGCGGAGCCAGCTTCATCGAGGCGTACAATTAGGCAGGTTTATCATCATATTTCTGAACATTATCCTGCGTGATTCCATTATAGGTAAAAATTTTATTTTTATATCTCATCGTGTTATACAGTAAGTAATATTTATCCATCACCAGGTTACGAACAAAAGATTTTCTTCATAATCATATCAGTATGCTCACACAAATTTCTAACTTTCTTTATATAATTCCATTATTTTCCATCGCTTGATTTGGCTGGTAGCAGTACTTTCCATATTTCCGGTATGAGTGGTGAGTCAGTCATATTGCATGTGTTGGGTGTAGACTCCATAAACAAGGATTCAGTAATCAATCTCCCTATCTCCACCCACCGATCTATATTACTTTTCAGAATTTTGACGCAGCCCAACCCACACTGTTGCGTGGTTGTGTGTGTTAATGCATGCAGTGAAGTGAAGTGCTGCGCTTTTTTTCTGAACTACTAATCTTAGTTCAGAATAGCGAGAGAAGCCTGCAAGATTAAATTCTACGAAGAGTGTCTGGAGATAGGCTGTTTTCCACGCCAATTCCTGAAACTCATCAGATCGACGAAACTACCTCCAACTTTCAAGAACCTGCGCCGCATCACTAAATCACATATCGACTCATCTCAAAAACGCATCACCGCTTTAAGGTCAAATCTAGTGAAATTCGACAGTCTACTGGAAAGCCTTAATTTGGTGTGTCGTATAAAGTTCATTAAATTCATGCAAGATTTACAAACGCAAACAGCGAACTCATATGGAAAGAAGCTCAGAAAATCTTTAGTAGTTGAACAACTACAAGAAGAATTTCCACAGTGCCCAGAAAAATACATATACAGTTTATCAGATGTGAAACTTAATAAAATTGAAACTGAAGCTCTGTCCTTAGGATTTAAGTATCACGTACCAAACTCGTTTATCAACAGAATCGATACAGAAACGCAGTTTGAGTATTTATACAGTCAACTTTCCGACCTAAAACCCATAGACGAGGATAAAAGAGTCTGGTTTAAGTCCAAAATGATCGATATTGCAGAACAATATAAGATTTCTCCTCCAGCAAACTCAAAATTATTTACTAAAGAACACAGAACAGCAATAAAAACCTACGAAACAATGAAAACATCGTCATTCTCAAACCGGACAAAGGTTCAGGTGTCGTAATAATGAACCGCCGAGACTACATCTCGAAAATGAATACCATTCTCGATGATACAATAAGATTCCAAGTTGATACGTCAAAAAAAGAAGCAACAACGGCCTTCGAAAATAAAGTAAACAAGCACCTTAAAGGACTACTTAAAGAAGGGCTAATTGACAACAGCACTTACAACGACCTTAAACCAAGGGGTTCGCGTGTGCTAATCTTAGTTTGTTCAATCATTCTAACCTTCACTAAATTCTTATGTTCTGATAATCTCACTACTCTTCATCTACTAGTTTAACCTATGTAGTTGAATTAACTCACAGACACTGCATAGTATTTTGTAAATAATATTATTTTGTCTAAGTGTGTCAACATACAGGGTTCTTTAAACTACAGAGCTTGTCCTATCTGAGTGAGTTTGCACGTTCGAATGGCATTCTAATTCCTGATTTTTTTTTGAGAATCGTACGTAGGGAGTGTCTCAGATATCCCCTGCTTATATGATGTAACTATAGATGTTTCACTGTAGCTGCAGCTAGTCAGACCTTAAAATTGGTTTAGTTTCAACTACGTAATTGAACAGGTTGTTCTCTGTAGAAAAATCGCTTTGGCAGCTGCATACGCTATTGGTATTATGTCTTTGATTCACCTGATGATCCTTACTCTAATTTGATCACCCTTCAATTTCAACAGAAGTCATACTAGTTTATTTCCTACAGTACTATACTCTACCTTCCCTACTTTTCGTTTACTGAATCTCTCTATGAATCACTTGGCAGATTCATTGTTCTTCGAACATACGCTGATGACCTTGATTCCGTTATCTAATGTTTCTATGAAGTGAATTAAGCTGAACGAATCGGTATTAAGACTATAGAAGCAGGTCAAGTGTTATCAAAAGATAAATTGTGTAATGATAGACGACCAGAGACTTGGTTGTTAAAGGAATGTTTATTTGGAATTTGGCATATCTATCCAGCATAATTTTTTTTCACGTCTTATCTTCAGATCATCATTTGCAGAGATCTTCTGTGTTGTCCTACTTTTTGTCCATCATAGTGTGCTTCTTTATGTTCCTTTCACGTCTCACATATATTTATCTACGGCGCTGAATAATTTGCTTTCTCAAACGTCCAATTTGGTTTCCTGCTATTTGATGCGTTTTACGCCAACGAAAGTCTCTTTATGTATTACCGATAAATCTTATCAGTAGTACACACACACCACAAATTGGCGATGATGGTCTTAATCGAAGATAAAGTGAAGTGAAATGTGTTCAAGAGGCGTTAGAAAAACATTTGTGAATACATTGCTTAGGATTTTGTCCATGTATAACCAGAGATTCGGCTAAACAACAGTGATAACAGTGACTGAGAATGAGCACGTAGATAACTATAGACGACGAATGGCTTTTGGATGTCTATCACTTGACTCTACAAGGTTTTACAAATCGAAGACGTCATCATCCGTAAACATGTCGTTGAACAGTCTATCCGGTTGGGTGATGAAAGGCAAGTATAGGATGATAACATCTTCCACTTATGGGTAGTCTCTAGAGTCATGTAATCCGAAACCGAAAGTCATTTATCCTGTAAAGGTATCTAAGGCGTCATATTCAGTCAGTATAACAGTTCACGCTATCTTCACCTGCATATCACTGGAGCTCATGCTATACTTGTACAGCATGTCAAAATTCTGAAAAGTAATATAGGTCGGTGGGTGGAGAGGAACAGAGATTAGTTACTGTATCGTGGTACATCGAGTCTACACCCAACACATGCGACAGAAATGACTCAACGCAAGTACCATAGATATGGAAGATATTATTACTACCAGACAGTCAAATCAGAGGAGGATAATAAATAGTCTTAAAATTCTATTTCAATTCAAGCACATGACAACATTCTAACAAGTTACTTATTTTGACTGTAAAATCACTCGTCCTATTTCCATCGGATTATATTTGATTGATAACACTCATATTATTATTTCTGAATGTACTTTATCTTACATTGATTTAATTCAATTGTCTAATAAATTTGACTCATGTGTATAAATAAAGGATAAAAGTTCTGTGAGTGACTTGATATGAATATGGTTTTCCATAAATTGTCCTCGAAACGTCATCAATGAGTATAACTGTAAAACCATTTGTGATTTATCAAAATAAAGTTTGATCTATAAGGGATTTATACTCTACCACGCAGTGCCCAAGTTTTATACTTACAGCTTTAACTCTATTTATGATTCACATGTACAGTTAGTAGTAGAAAATACTTCGGCAGATTTGAGAGACGGTTATCTACAAGGACTGTTGAACAAATGCACAATGAGTCTACCTCTT